GAAATTTTTATCAAAGGCTATCCGTTTCTAATAATAAAAAGTATTGCCTATTAGCAAATTGTATGATTAAAAGAACAAGCTTTTTAATAGACAACGAACCCACTCGAGGCCGCATATGTGACGAGGTGATTGCTATCTCAAGGAACAATAGACTTGGAAGCAATCCAATTTCATGGTCGTTCCTTGTCTAAGGCATTAGATAATTAGCAATATTAAATTTCCACTTTTTCCATAATTTTGCAATTGACTAATCAAGAATATATTTCCGCGAAAAGTTCATATGTCAAAACAATAAATACATTGAAACAAATTATATAAAAATCCTTAATTAAGAATCTTTCTTGATACAAGAATTTACTGTTTTTACCTAAAATAACAATATTTTATTGTGCATAAACAAGATTACCCAAAGAACGAGAAAAACACTCCTTGGCCACTAGCCAATAACGTGTATCGATCCCTTCAATACTTTTACCCCTATTCAACCATCCCGAGATTCGCAAAAGAAAAATATTTTCCTTTTCATCCCATATTTAATTGCATCACACTTTCCCCATCAAAATTTCCTATTAGGGAATCCCTTAAGGGAAAATTCGAACTTACCTTAAATCTAAGACAGGAAGGGCGAAAAGATCCAAGGCCAGAGTAAATTGCGAGCCCCAAAGACTTTTCTACTGAAATTATCAATAAGTTATCGCAAACTAGTTGTACTAAGGTGGATGAAGCAATTAGTAAGTAAACCTTGAGCCCCGAGCCATCTATTGCATCGCATAGGAATTTCCAGTTTCCTGTAGATTGGCGAGAAAAGCATTACATTATACTCCCACGCAATCTAGCCTGGCTGCATACACAGTGCATACCAAGTTGCGCCTATGCAAGTTAGATGCATTTTTCCTTATCTATATACATATACCATATATATATAAACCTCTGCATAGGCGTTGGACTGCAGGTATTCACGCGTGTTTCGCATACTTGTACGCTCGGCTGACAATGAGTCGTGCGGAAAAGATAAGAAAAAAAAAAAAAGTCAAACTTTCAGTCCACAAAGGTTAAGCCGCCCACGCAACGTGGAAATTTTTCGTAGCAGTATCTCTAGCACGAATTTCTAGCTCACTGAATCCGCATTCTACTCTCGTTTCTTACGGGTCTCGCATGTCTTAAGCGTCCAATTGCATTTCTGTATCAGTCTTATGCTTGTTGTTACTATTATTCATCTATTCCACGGATTATTCAAACGAGTGGTAATAATTAATCGGGAGGCTCGTTCTCCATCTGACAATGAGTACTAATCCCACATCCGGTACTTTTTACATGGTGATCGCAAGGTTATGCAGTATGAACGGGACAGTAAGAATAATTTAAACCAATCGCGATAAATTCACGGATAAACGTTTCTGCTTATGTAGATTCGCATATTTTAGATAGGCACACGTTACACGTACCTACTGTTCTTCAGGGGCGATGTGATATATATAAATAAAAAAAGGAATTGATAAATAAAAACTAAATTACATCATCTACCAAATTTACTGATCCGCGTGAGTCATTGTTACAATTAATAAAAAAAAAAAAAAAAAAAAAAAAAAAAAAAAAAAAAAAAAAAAAAAAAAAAAAAAAAAAAAAAAAAAAAAAAAAAAAAAAAAAAAAAAAAAAAAAAAAAAAAAAAAAAAAAAAAAAAAAAAAAAAAAAAAAAAAAAAAAAAAAAAAAAAAAAAATGTCCAACACGGGAATCGAACGTCCGATCTTACGAACCGAAAATGTCCTGCTATTGGTACACTTATAAAAACCTGCCCATTCTACTTCGGCCCCTCGTTCATTCTGTAACCTCACTACTTGCGTGCAGTAGCTACATTAAATTATCAATGTGAAAAGTTTCCCCGCTGTTAATGGGTATCCAAATGATTTGCATACCGCGACACGCTAGAAGCTTGTACTTGGTTCATTTTATTGGGACTCCAATGAGTAGACTTTTTTCTTATTAATTACTATGCATAATCATTAACGCGCAGATACGTCAATCAAAAATGCAATAATCACACACACGCTCACCGGTGTATTTATTTTATTTATTACGTCGTAGTCTGTCATTGATAATATATCAGAACATTGTCATTCCAAATTATTCCCATTATCTTACACAGCATTTTATACGATAACCTGTTGGATGACGACAGGTATATGACGAAGTTTCGTCACATTATAAAGTCACGTTCAGTTATCTTTATGTTTTTAGTGAAGTACCACGAGTGTCTGAAAAAAAATTATTTCTCCGTAACTCATTTGTTAGTTTTTCCGACTTTTAATACATTGCGTGTTTCTAACGACTCCTGGAAAAGATTGATATCTCGGAATGTCCTTGGGAATTTTATGGAATTTCATGGAATTTCAAGGATCTGGTTCCCGCAAGGAAAAAGGATAATCAAACGTTGTTGGAACTTTGATGAATTGTTGGATGAAGGTTGGTATGACTGCTCGGAGTGTCTTATGGGGTTGGTCTGTATCTGATTATTTAATTGTCATTTGAAATGTCCAGCCATTTAAAATCCTTTATTGTAATTGCTAAGTGAAACGAATCGCACTGCGCGACGAATCGCACTACGTTTATATAGTTAAGCGAAGTAGTAAAGTGGAAACGTAAAATTCGTCAATAATTGTGCTAATCATTTTCTTTAGTATGTATATCAAGCCGATGGGTCCTAGAGATTCGGGTTGAGATTATAGGCAATCAATCTCGAGCAGAGTCTACTGCTTTGGAGCAACCTAAGAGGCAACAGTTTGACACTGGTTTTGGATAAGTCTACCCCTGAGGATATTTAACGTTGCTGAATTTATTTTCTAGTTTCACGTAAACCCGCATGAGATCTTTTTAAATGTTTGGATTGGACTTTCTAATCCAAAATTCAAATCTTTTTTTTTTCCCGCCGTTTAAAATAGTATATGGCTATCGTGTAACGTGTTTGCAGGCAAATATACCGTACGGTCGGTAACGTATATAACTCATGTGAGTTGGTGGTGACATTATTTTTTTTTGTATATATTTGCACTGGAAGTCGCCCTAAAGCGTTACGTAAATATCAATATACCACTCTGCCGACGGCGAGTTAAATTTTAGTACAATAATCAAATAGTAGTACGAATAAATCCAAAGGAAAAATATTTTCAATTTTGCAAATCCTAAAGCGTACAAAAATTTTACAATTTTGTTCTTATTTAAATACGATTAAAGTGTACACGTTGTTATAATGCCGGATAAATTGACTACTTGTCAATAAAAAAAAAAAAAAAAAAGTGTAAAGCCCTCATAAATGAACATGACAAAATTCTACATCAAAATTCATCTCGATCCAGCCTCTATAATTATGGTCCAGACTAATGATTCCGGCAACCCAAAGAGATGTGAGATCAGCATTTTACATGCTGCGATTAATTATCATACACGCGTATACAATGAACGATTCTTAGAACTATATTAAATAATACAAAGTGATAGAAAATAGACTAAACACTAAATAGCATTGAGAGCACAGTACTCTAAAAGTGACTGAATCCTAATTTGGATAAAATAGAAACAAAAAATAAAGCATTACATAAAAATAATAATTAAGTTAACAATAAATCCCGCAGAATTTCCTCGAAATAATAAATCTGCACGTAATATCCAGTCTTACCAAAAAAATATTCCTGTTCGTCATTCCACGAAATCCCGGAAATCGCAATGTTATCCTTTACCGTATTAAGGAAAAAAAAGTTGTTCGACTATGACCAAATGCCTTAATACGGCCTTGCCTTTGACATTCAAATGTGAACCAAGGTACAATAGCAATTTTTTTGCAACTGTCCGCCCGTTGTAAAGTACGTGTACGCGTCACGGTACGTATTAGTTATTAGAAAGTAAATTACACAATTTCAATAACTTAATAAATAAGTAATCCGGAGCAACCTTGATTATCGATACGTGCCTCTGTGTACAGTGACCGTCAAGGAGTCTTTTTCCGTCGGCCATCAACACCGGAACCGGAAATCTGCCAGTGAAATATATTTCCAGGGCAATAAACTCTTTATTGATCTACTGGAACTGGCGTAAATCAAAACTCACGTGTGCTCGAGAAATTAATTGGGTCCCGCAACTGCGAAAGGAAAAGGTCTCTGTAGGCTTTGAAAGTTTATAGAGGTGCAATGGCACAAGTACGAGGCGCAAGTACACTTGGCAGTAACGTATTCCAGATAGCCTTGTCGATCGAATCGAACATTTCCACTTTGGACGATTGTGCCATTGCATTCTGCGATCTCTTGAGAATTCACCGGAGCGACTTTGCATAGCGACAGGATTTAGGTACTGGAACTACACACTGGCTATACGTAAGCATCACTCGGCTGTAGCAGTTACTGATGGGAGTAGAGAAAAAAAGAAACTTCGATGGAATTATTTAGTTGAATTAAATTTGTTTACTTAAATTTTTTTCACTTACTTTTTATAGCATCAGTACCAAAGCGACGTAATATCAATGACTTTGAAGACTACGCAAGCGGTTTAGTGAAAAATTCCAATGACTGCTTCTTCCCGACGGACTAGCTTTCGACGCGAAATACGGTTGTTTCGGGATAAAATTTATTTTTCACAGTATCGTTACGGCTACGCGCGACGGTGACAGTAGGATTCATGTAGACTTATCAGAGAGAGGGGTTGCTTGTCGATAAAGGTGTGCAATAGTGTTTTTTGAAAATTATGAAAATTTATATTTCAATGGTAACAAAGTCGTCATGTTTCCCAGGAGGAAAACTGGTTCCGATGGAATGCAGTAAGCACACAGTGAATTTGCCTGTCTGGTCCGAGTGTTTGGAGTGCCATTGGATTTGTACAATTGCAGCAGGACCTTCAATTGTCGTGTCTCTTTGGAGGGGTAGTGTGTAGATAGATAGGACTATAGAGTGGCGGGAACACGTGTAATAAAAATTGCCATTAATAAACCTGTTTGCTGTTCCTTATCCTCCCCCACTCGTGAGTTTAGTGACAGACAAGTGGAGTAGAAACGTAAAGTGCTTCTTAGATCGCGTCGAGAAATCGCAGGATACAGTCGCGGGTCTAAAAATCCGTCACACGCGTCCCGTCGGTGTTGACGGATATTTTTCAAAAAAAAATTTTTTTCAAGTTTCACAAAATGTATCCGGGAAGATGCATTCTTTTCTATGCACTATCTCTCACATTGGCCGATCTGGTTTATTGTGAGATGCAAGTGAAACTTCTGCACGTGGTGAGTTGGAAAGTTTTTTTTTGGAAAAAAAGATATTTTTTCACGTTTTTCAAAAATGTGAATTCAAAACAAGACAGAGACGATAGCTAAATTTTTATTGTGCAAATTTTAACTGGTATCGTAACAAGGGAGTATAACTTCCCGAATAATAAATGAAAATTTATACAGCTCTTCCGTCATGGAGATAAAGTGCCTCATCAGGAATATCAGAATTACCCAAATGACCCGCATCGAAATCATTCGTACTACCCGATTGAAAACGGAGGTCTTACCAACGTGAGTTACAAAAAATCATAATTTACGTATGATAAAGTAATTTCCTTAGAATCGAAAGCATGTATAATTTAAGTACACGGTGTTTTAACGATGACCACGTTATTATTAAATTATCGAGAAGGCAGCGAAGAATTCGTTTTCGAATCGAACGAGTTTCTCTTTCCTGATACCGTTATACGTATACATCGTAACTAATTGCTATAAGCAAAGTAATTATTAATTACTTAATTATCATTACGCATATTTGGAACTTTTCATCCGTCGCAATTGAATTTAATGAAAAGACATGAGAATTTACAATAAATTACCGATTGTTCGTCAAAGAAATCGTTAATGGTATTATTAAATGCAACGCTTAAAATTCCAGAAAAGAAAGTCGCGCCGTCACTATTTCGGTACAACATACAATTTATTTATAAATACAAAATTTCTATTTCGTATTAGTTTCTATGTCGTATTCTCGAAATTACTATTTCGAGAATTCAGTCTTGCCATTGAGCGTGGAAAAATAAAAAAAATATGCAAAATCTAACAATCAATAATCGATTTCGATATTAATCCCAAAGCTGAATCTAATTTCGTCTGGTTCAACGACCCAGCTAAAGTTACCGGTTGACAAACAAGTATAGATATATACATTCCATTATCGCCAAGTAGATATCAGTAAAACTGCTATACTAGCAAAACCTTATGAGATATTCTGTCAGATGACTAGTAAATACAGTGCACACGTGATATATGCTGGAACCAGCATAATAGTTTTAGGAACAGGTTGAAATGTCATAATAGTTCTTTTCAGACGCAGAATACACGTAAAACTCGTCCCTTTGATCGACAACATTTCAGCGCGTTTGGTTATAATAAAATATTTGAATTTCCCGCCAATGCGCCAATAACGAATTTTCACAATGAAAAACCATAGACTGACCCATTGAATTATTGATTCCCACTAAATGAATCAGCAAGGCAAGATGAGAGAGTACAAGATCGGGATGCTGCTACGTGACAGGTACAACAAATATTTTGGTCAATATTATTGGCCAGACATGATCTACGCTCAATCCACTTACTTCCCAAGGACTCAGATGTCCTTGCAACTTGTACTCGCCGGATTGTTTCCACCCAAGGATAAACAGATATGGAATCCTCATCTGCCCTGGAGTCCAGTATCCAGCTTCTTCGTTCACTACAACGCGGACTATCTTCTGTTTCCACATCTATGTCCTCAGTACGTGGCGCCGCAGCTCCTTAGTCTTATTTACCCAATGAGCGTAGCGCAGTGAGACACGCTCAATATCAAATATGCATTATTTCAGATACACCAGCACGTACGCGCGATTTCTACGAGAGGATCAAACTCGTGAAATGATAAGTAAATATCAGGACGTTATGAAGTACCTTTCCAAGTACACTGGGAAAGATGTTAGTACAACGTCAGCCGTATACTACCTGTACAATTTGTTTAAGGAGCAGGTAAGACAGTCATGAAGTTATTTGACATAGGATATACATTATTTGTATATGAAGTAAAACGTTATACTTTTATCCTGGTCTTTCTATAGGCAGCTCAAAATTTGACTTTGCCAAAATGGACCGAGAAAGTATATCCAAAAACGATGAAGGATATTACTGCTCTGGATTTCAATCTGAGATCATATACCAGAGATCTGAAACGTTTGAACGGAGGTTGGTACTTCGATACTAGCTGTATTGGGGGTTTATGACGATTATGAATTTTGAAAAAAAAAAAATTGTATGGGGATTTTTTTTTCTACAGGGATGCTGCTACGCAAAGTAACGGATGATATTAAAGAATTGAGAACAGGAAATTTACGTCCTTCGGGTAGAAAGGCTTTCTTTTTTTCCGCTCACGAGTTGAATGTCGCCACTTTTGTCAGGACCTTAGGGACCGATGATCCTGTTTTACCGGCTTATGGCTCTACAGTAATACTGGAGACGCTTCAGGATGAAAATGAGATGTATTATATACGAGTAAGTAATAATTTAAATCCCATAAGAGGATATATGCTCGAATTTCAAAATACTCGAGTGGCTAAAGTCTGAGATGAAAAAATTGAAAAATTTACATAAATTTTTATTATATTGTAGGTTTTACTGTGGACAGGTGTCACTGAACGATTGATAGTTCAAACGGTACCGGGTTGCACCGAAATTTGTCCATTGGATGTTTTTCTTGATCTTATGAAAAATGTCATTCCGACCGATGCCGAGTATTATTGTTACGGGACTGAGTCTACGAATATTAACAAAAGAAATACCGATAGCGCAGCCAGCGATTTTTGGAATTTTAGTAAATGGCCGTACCTACTTATTGTCATTCCGTCGATTGTTAATTTTAGGTATTTTTAGTGGAAATAGGTAAAAAAAAATAATGTACATAATATGCTAAGGTTTTAGCACACAGACTCCATTAAAAATTCAAATAAGAACAGTATTGAAGCCTAAATGATATTAGAGTCGTTAGCAGGTACAGGGTATATAATATTAATTAAGAAAGATGGCGTTGGAATAATGTCAATCTCAATAATCAATACAGTAATATCTGATTAGCCTGAAATAATGACATAAAGAAGCGACGCTTATCAGATATTGACTTTTTTCTTTAATTTGTGAAAATCGACAAGTCTCCAAAAGGTCGATCAATCTGAATCAGTTAGGTTAATTCAGTATTATCAAATTAATAACGATCCATTCCTCTCGAGAATTATCTCGAGTGTATTCGGGAGATAAATACTATAATAAGATTTTATATGTAAATTCAATAAATACTTACATCTCTGCGATATCATTCAGCTATACTAATCTGTATATCTTATCGTATTCCTAACCAGTTTGAAATGATCCAACGAGTAGTAAATAGAAATTAACGAATTTACGTCGTATTTGTATGAGCGATTTTTGAAATGAAAAATTCGAGAATTCGCTTTTTTCTTATAACCATTGAATCTTTTGATCAACGCTTCCAAGAAGAACAATCCTCGTTGATTAGCTTGACTCTTCGGAGTAAACTTTGTGCAAAGGAAATTGCCAAGCGGATAAACGAATGAGTAATCTATAAGTAAAGAACGTTTATGTTTATCTCATCGGATGCGAATAAAGTGAAGAACAAATTTTCAATACGCGCGCGATGCTAAGAAACCGGATTTACGAGTTGTAGGTATGAAAGAGAATCGATGAAAAAAAGTAAAACAGATTTTGAATTTCCAATATTTCCATTTTCATTCCTCCATAGAAGAAAATCAATTTACAAAAAAAAATTTTGCAAATACGGATTAAATATATGGCCGTGTAAGCAACAGGTGTTGGGACGTAAAGATATTTCGCGTGACTTTGACAAATAAGGGATACGTGGGATATGACTAATGTAAGTGATTCTATAACAATTGAAATTGCGCGCTCTGCCCTGAAGAGGTGATTGGGCGGTAAATTTAAAAAAGAAATTTTACTTTGCGCACTTTTAGAAAATTTAATCAAGATTAAAAAGCACTAAATACATAAACGATCGCGTTTTCAATGAAAATTCTGTACCCTACCGTACCGTATCCTCTTAGGACTAAGTTTACCAGAGTCATGCAAAGCAGCCTTATTCTCACATAATAGACGAACTACATACATTAACCGTATAATACGTCGCTCTTGAGCTTGCAGGATCATCAGTGACGTCACAAAGGGCTTTTGATCAGGTCCCTAACGTGTATAATACAGCTCGTAATCATTCTCTCCCATATGCATATTTCAGCTCTTTTGTCTTTCATCGTGCATTATACTCGTACTTTTAGGATAAACTAGCAGATTCCGTATTTATCCAAAAATAATTACATACTCGCAAAGCGGTAAGACGTAACGACAGACTGAAATTACGAATTATCAAGTTAATTTCATGAAATTGCCATTTTGCAATGTCTTCTCAATAATCATGATAATAGTGAAATATAAATTTTTCAGTAAAGTGCATCAATCTACCTTAAATCCTGGTTACGTCAACCTCTTGGAAACTTTCCTCAATTTATTTAAAATTTCATTCCCACCGATTGCTTGGAGCAGTTCGATAACAATAGTATGCAGTAACAATAATATACAGGTACGACTTTAACTCCAAGGCACAGTCCAATGTGCATTTCAGATACGGAAAACGCTTTTAGTATGATTGCAGTATGAATTAGGGATGCAGGAAAATACGGAAAGAATATCGTAGCGAATATTTGTGTATTTGTCTAAAAGCAAATCTCCTATAAATTTTATATTCACAATATTGTGTTAAATCGTCCAACGAGTAATAATGGAACAGAAAAAAAAATATCGCTAATCGACAAGTTGAAAACTATCGAAGCAGTATAATTATTCATGGCGTTGTCCGGCATAATATATCGTAGGTCAACAGTGATCAACGCATAGACTTACTCAACGGATAAAGAAGCAGCTACCATTAAAAACGAAGCTATATAAATATTACCTACCTTACCGACAGGCACATTTTATCACGGCACGTATTTTCCTATGCGCCAAGTGAATGGGAAACACGAGTCTAAGGTAATTCCGGTATCCCACACGTTGAATGAAACGAAGAGAAAGAGAAATTGAAAAAAACACGATGGAAACGTTACATCGTTTTCAGTCGGAGAAAACTGCGGATGAATCGCGCGAAATCGTCACGGTTTTTACTTCGCTTATGCGATTTCATGTACAGGACGTTTCAACTGGGAACATTGCTTCGCGTGCATTGAAAATTTCTAGAATGACTGTACCAGGCTTTACATTGAGAAAAGTGATAAAATGCAGATTCCTTCAAGCTCGCGATACATAGGATTCGATACCGTTTAATGACTTCCTTTGTGATCTATACACATAATTTATTATCCTGTTCCTCTTAATGATTTACGTAAGATATAATACAAGTGCGCGATTCAAGCGAATTTAACCAGCGTCAAGATTCGTGTCGATGAGTCAATCGTGATTATTATAGGAGTAACGGTACCTTAATACTGTCGTGACTAAAAGAAGTTATCGCCGCGATCTAAACGAGCCCTGAGGAAAGGACATAATATATTTATTTAAATCCGACAAGATTACGTTCTCGGGCGCATACCACGTGGATATATTAGTATATAAATAAACGGCCTGTATAAAGTAAATATACGTGTCCGCTATGTATAACATAAAACGGAGCTCCTAATTTATATCCATATACGTACAAATCTTATTTACATGTGCTTCAGCTCGTAAAGTTCGAACGTCAAAAAGATATTCTCGACGACAGAACGTGTTCACCAGTTAGCTTTGGGTATAGGATTGTGAAAGGGAACATTTTATTTCCACCCTCTTCGAATTTATCTCATAGCTTATTTTCTGAATGACAAGAGTCTATAATATCCATCGGATTTACGTTGAGTCAAAAAATGTCCTGTGCCATTTTAGTTAAATTCATCCACAACTGCCACACGTATATCAAAGGTAACCATGTAACGTTTTCCGATAAGAAATCAATAATACTAGGTTACTTCTCTATATAGCTTAGCGTACCATAACACGATAGACTACCAATTTTGGTGAAAGCATCTGAAAACTTGTTAAAAAAATGTATTCCGCCCGGACTCACCTATTCGATGTCGAAATTGCGCAATGACGAATACTCATGACGTAATCCGTCTTCGTTACTCACACCACACTGATTCACACTTGGATGAGAATTAATATCCACCGAGTTTACACCGAGTGCATCGCGCATAGCACGAAATCCGGTTTTCCTTACATCACGCACTGTTTTTCACGACCCGTCCGAATGCGTCTTTACGAAGTCACCGTATAACCCATACACAATGGTATACCTACCGAAGATAAAAAAGTGACAGGATTACTGATAACTATTAATAAAATGCAACGTGACATCACGCATGACTTATCAGTGATCAGAAGCCATAGTGTCGGTAATGAAATTCCAAAAAAATTATTAAAATCCATAAATTAATATTTCGATACTCAATCGATCGGCGATAGGTAGCCGAAGTGGTGCAGACAAAAATACGTGAAATAGTTTCAAGTAAAAATTATCATGCGACCCAAAGAAATTTTTAGAAAAAATTCTTAACAATCAAATATCGAAAAGTCACGAAATCCCAAAATCGCTGTGTATCACGATACAATTTTTCAACCGAACTCCACGTGCGTTATTAACCTCAAAGACGGACGTTACACGGTTCGTGTCTTTATCTTTACCGTATCTTTATCGACGATTCGCAAAGGTGCATTCCTTGGCCGCCCCGTTTCGCAACTCCGGGGGGTTAAGACCTGCGCAAGTATAAAGCACGGTTAGAGCGTCAGGCTAATGAAATGCAGGACGCGTTTACGCTCTTTCTCGTATAGACCGAGCGAAGAGCATTGCTTGCATTTTACATCGGTACAAGTACGCGTCTAACATACTACAAGCCGTCCTATCCCGTTGCTCTTGTACGGCAGTGAATAGGCGTGCTGTTACAGCCAGCGAAGGATGTCTACAGGTATTACATCACGCAGTCTTAAGTTGGCGCATGCTCTTTCCATTATCCAAGATAGGTACGTCCGTCAGAGTGTGGCCCGGCGTCGCGACGGATGCCGGAGCTCGCGAACCGTGCAGAAAGATCATCGGCACGCAATCCATTGCAGTTTGGGAGAGAAGATGCAACAGTGACTGTATAGGCTACGTTCGAGAGAGATTCAGTCGTGTATGATTTTGATGATAGATTTTTTGAAGTATTACTATATATAATGCTGTTGTGCATAGGATTGTTATTATTATTGTTATTCGTTACCTTGGTAACGTTGTGCAGTTATGCAGTTAAGGATCTTACAGTCGTATCGGGGAGTTACGAAGTTTTAATATCTCGGTACTGTTGGTAATGGTCGTTCGCGTTCCTTCCTGCGAATGTGAAATTCCTATAATTGGATCTCATTAATTTACGATGATGCTTCCTTGCGCCTTTTATCGATGCGCAACGGGTGCGTGAGGAAAAGATTTTCTGTGCTGATGCACTCGTTTGCATATATATATATATATATATATATATCGCTTATGAATTGCACGGTGCCCTGTGCTTCTCTTGTTTGTTGTTTCTTTTTTTCTTCCTGCTTGGCGTACGGCGATAATGTTACTGCTGCAACGGTAACGTTATAGCTTCAATTGGAACGTGTGATCAGTTGCCGACCATGGATATTGCAGCGATAAACATCTCACGAGGAATTACGATCCAGAATGAGATACGAGTGACGCAGTGAAGGTGGAAAGAAGAAGCAATGTTGGTAGTCATGATTAGAGAAGATTGGGTGATTTTTGTAATTATTGTTATGATTCGTCATTTTCATAGAGTACGAGAGAGAGAGAGAGAGATGGAGAAGATCTGAGGCAGAGAGTAAATACAGGGTATTAAAGTGACTTAATAATTAATCCTTGAAAGAAATGCATGTTGCACATGAGAGAATTGCATAAGAGAAAAAAAAGGATGTCGAGATGAAAGGTCATGCAAAAAAAGAAAAGCGTTCCGAGAATGCGGGTCGTTTAAATAAAATAATAGCGCGCCTGGGAATATTATACTTGTAGAATATTATGATGCTTCGTAAAAATATTCTTGAGTATTTAAAGGTACACTTGGTTATGAATCTTGAGAACGTAAATATGTGAACGTAAATGTGCTTGTAAAATAATAAAATGGCTTGTCTATTGAAAGACATAACCTTGTTTTAAAAATTTATAAAAATATTTCAGTTTCTTTAATACTTCGGTAGGATTGTTAGAAATCTTGATTGTATCACAAGATTTAATTAATTTTTTAATGATTCTTTAATACTGTCACAGGCATTCAATTATTATCACCTTACTTTGCACTTGCTAATATTCATTATCGTAGCCGTGGGTTTCCATTCACAATAGATAACACCATGTTAAACGACGCGGACTAAGCACAATATAAACTGTCATCAAAGAAGCTCTTCGTAGAACAATAAATTGACAGATACGAGATAACCGCGAGCAACCTCAGGTTGCTAGTTCGTATCTGCTGTCGCGCCTCAGGCTCTCTCGTGGCATCGTCAGCAGGTGCCAGGTAAGGCATACTGAATGTGAGAGCCCCGAGCACTTGTTGCGGTAGTTCCACTTGGACTGCCAGGAACACAACCAGTGGGCAGAAAGAGTGGATTTGCGAATGCATCAACGTCTTTGACGTAAGAGAAGAAAAAAAGTGGCAATGTAATTGGACTTTTCCTAAGCATTTTTATTCTGATATGATTTTGAATCATTATGCGTTATTATACTTTTTGCTATAACAAGTAATTCAATATTGACGTGCATATGTCATTTCTTATAAATCTGTTAGACGTATGGTACTTCAATTATGATTGTGAGTATGGTCACGTTTATTTTTAAATAACGGCTACGACTTCCGTCTAGCGTCGGATATGGTGTTATTATATTGAAATTGTAAAGATTTGGCGTGTGATAATCATGTAAACATAGAACAAGACGATCGTATTTACTGTAAACGTAGAAGCTTAGTGTTGTAATGTAAAACTGATTACGTTACTGACTTCACTTTCTTGCCAAATAGAATATATTTTCTTACGCAAGAACGACACCACCCACTCGTTCAGAAATTCCTCATTGAAATATTATTGTAAGCGTTTGTGAGAGTCTTTCAGCAAGTTTTTTTATATACTATATTCCAGTCACTCGAGCCATTGGTTAAAACATGAATATTTGAAACCTTCTGAGTCAACTGCTGTAAACAATGACTCCGGTCTAGGATCGAGTATTCCGACATTCTTACAACAATAAGACAGCATAATTGAATCTATGCAGACAACATAATTAAAGTATAATCTATATACCAAAGAATATTCGATGATACAAATTTACTGTTAACCACATCCATTTCGTACTTACCCACAATACAATAGCACTATCAGAATGCGGTTATCAGTAACCGGCAATGGATTCCAGCGGCTTGCGAGCAATTACACTTGCGGTTCTATTACTCCAACCTGAGATAAATCAGAGTAAACTTTTGAATCAGAGTAAACAATTTCAGCAATTTGGAATCATTACCACTACCGATAAACAGACAAAATTACCTTCGCAGCTACCAACAGTGCGTGTGTAAAATTTAAATACAAAATTCCGCCATTACGCACTGCCATCGACTAACGTCGGAAGTCAAAGCGATGCTTCCTATTCGACTAAACGACTATACCAATGGCGCAGGTAAGGATGGCGAAGACCAATCAAAATCCGAGCCAAAACCTTGTACAGATTGTCGCCCACGTTGTGCACGCTGCCCAGAGCGCATGTGGAAGTAGAAGTACGCGCAACGGCGGGCAATGAAACAGCTGTTTTTGACAACGGCTGAGCCATCTGGTGGAGCGCGCGGCGATTCTACACGCGAAACGTGAGGAATCCGCAGAGGCGCGGACGTTCTGTAGCAGCAGTCGTGAGTGGTCGTGAGACGTGAGGAAACATGGCTGCTGGTTGTTGTGGAACGAAGAAGCAGAAGCTTAATAATTCCTCTAGTATCCCATGCAATGGGTCCTCAGTATTGCACAATGGAACGCAGATACAGAATGGATTAATCGTGCAGCCAGAAATGGGCTTCTTCTGCTTCGATGTGCTTTACTGCCAACTGCATCAACTTGACCCTCCAAAAACGCCCAACTTCAGCAATGATGCATTGTAAGTACATATTTTAATAGAGGAGTTTACACTGTATCTTCTTTCCCCTCTTGCTCTTTCTCTTTGTTTCTTTTGGATGCATAGCAGACTCCTTTGCCTCCCACTCCTCACCACATTGTCAACAGTATATCTGTATCGGGTGATTTACTTATGTACTGCTTGATCTCTTCCTTGAGCTGTCTTTGTTTGAGATTTTGAAATCTTTTGTTGAGAGATAGTAATGATTTTTTTTAAAGTTAGTTCAAACGACTTTACAACAGTTGCTATCTTGATATTTGTAAACATGACGATATTACTTGCTTTTTTCTTTGTAATAGCGATTTTTGCTATTTTTGCGCTGTATTGGAAATTGTATTTTTTTTAAATATTTCTTTTTTTATCCTATTTCATAATTTTTTGGAGGAAAAATTTTATTCTCGATTACGAAGATAAGTTGTCATGCTCTGTGGTGTTTTCTTTGTCTCGTTCCTATATTTCCCACTGTGTGTATGGAGGTCATGTCGACTTCTTACACAAAGGCAGTCGCGGCCATTCTTTTTATGGTTATGTTTATATTTGTATGTAGCCAATCTATTTTTAAATTCTTTAAGCTTTTATGTATCTAAGTACTATTTTATGATTTCATTCTCCAGTTATATATACTTGATAACTTTAATAGCAGAAATTTTTATAGTAATAATATTTTATTGATAGTATCATATTAGTATTTCATGATATTACATTAGTTCTTTTAATTATACAACTTATCAATGTCCTGGAATAATCATAGTTTCGATAATGTCAGTATTTATGTTTGTTAAAATAGAGAAATCAGATGTGTCAAGATTTGTGCTGGGTTGCTAGATGAAACCCTGATTGATCATACTAGTAATAAGAAATTTATTATGCATCAATTTTAGCCCATTGTTTGTCACTTGGGAGATTGGAAAGGACATGAGACTAAGGGGTTGTATCGGGACATTCAATGCCATGCAACTACATGCTGGTCTACGAGAATATGCTACGACTAGGTAAGATTGCTCTTGGCTGGCACGTCAAGAGTGATAGAACTTAAAATTATATTAAATTAGTTGAATAAGTATGAAATGATAAACCCAATTTTTATTTCTTTTTTTCTTAAAGTGCATTCAAGGATTCACGTTTCAATCCGATAACCAGGGAAGAGCTTCCTCGGTTGCACGTAAGCGTCTCTATACTCCGTCACTTTGAAGATGGAGTAGATTATTTAGATTGGGAAGTGGGTGTTCATGGAATTCGTATCGAATTCCACAATGAGAAGGGTAACAAACGAACTGCCACTTATTTACCCGAGGTGGCAACAGAACAAGGTATGTATTTAAACTTTCACGGAATACATTTACTAAATATTTTTTGAAGATAACTTTACATTTGATGTTATTGACGTTGTAAAAAATTTGAAGCAGATCTTTCTTTTATCAGTGATTCATTTAGAAGTGCACTCGGCATACAACTCTATGCTCTGTTGAAACTTGGACATAATACTAGTAACAGCAAAAGTAGTTTATTAAAATTTCCACTTAGGCATCACATAATCACGAGCGTTTTGCAATTTGCGAAATTCCCGTGTTTAGGATGGGACCAGATACAGACAATAGACTCTTTGCTGCGCAAGGGTGGCTACAAAGGGTTGGTCACGCCGGACCTTAGACGTAGCGTTAAACTAACGCGATACCAGAGTGAGAAGATCACCGTCAGCTACCAGGACTACATGACCCATTGGCATAGCCGACGGTGCTAGCAGCTGGCCTGGGGTCCTGCGCAGGGGCCCCTGCCTCACCAATCTTCTATTGCAGTTCGTTATAACAATCCTGACATAAGTAATTACGTTTCTCATTCACAATACAACGCAATGCAACACAATTCCTTCATGGCCAGTCAACAGCACACGTTAGTTATGGTGCAACCAAATCATCCATCTTTCATACATCCGCTTCCCATGGCTCCGATATCTCCTGTTGTTGTTCCAGTACAGGACTATCCACCATTTTGGTGGGATCGTCCAGGACCGTCTTTTCCACCTCCTCATCCTCGTCCTCCGGTTCATTGTTTCCCTGGACAGGACATGATGGACCGCGGTGTTCGCAAGCGAAAATGACACTGGAAACGTCTGTTATTTGCGACCTTTCATTGTTTGAAATGGTGCCTATTATACATTGTATGTTTTAGTATACACAGTCTCCCTCTTATGATACCTTATAGCTCACCATCCGGCTAGGGCAAGAAACAAGCTTCCAGTATGATGGCACATTCTCTTTTATTTTGTCTATGCCTATTATAGACTAATGAAAATAATCATTCGCTTCTCTCTCTCTCTCTCTCTCTCTCTCCCTCTTTCTCTCTATCTCTCTCTCTGACTAGTGGTAATTTTTCTTTTGTCATGCGCTCTGTCTCCGAGATACCCTTATAAATAGATTTATTTGATCTACCGTTTCCCTCTTTCTCTCTATCTCTCTCTCTTTTAGTATACACAGTCTCCCTCTTATGATACCTTATAGCTCACCATCCGGCTAGGGCAAGAAACAAGCTTCCAGTATGATGGCACATTCTCTTTTATTTTGTCTATGCCTATTATAGACTAATGAAAATAATCATTCGCTTCTCTCTCTCTCTCTCTCTCTCTCTCCCTCTTTCTCTCTATCTCTCTCTCTGACTAGTGGTAATTTTTCTTTTGTCATGCGCTCTGTCTCCGAGATACCCTTATAAATAGATTTATTTGATCTACCGTTTGTCATGCTTGGCGCTTCTATCTCCTTCGCATTATGTTGTTACGGAAGAGTACGGCGAACGGTATGAGCACAGTGGGAAATTAATGAGACTCGTGATGATGATGATGATGAATAATGCTTTGCGTAAGGAAGTGACGTTAATGCGCAGCAAGTATTTTCTTTTTCTTTCCTTAACGCCAGAATACATTTTCCTTTTATTTTTTCGCACGATGTCGCTTAAATAATATTTTTTGTTTTGTTTCATGACTTACCCAAGTATACCGTATACCTGTACTTAGTTATTTTGTCGCCTAAGCGCAAGTGATACTGGTCGAAGGAAACGAGTTTTTGAAACGAATTGTAGAATTGTTATTGATTAGCGGCTAATTGCCATGACTTGTACAAAAGCAGCCATCATACTCGCAGCTATGTTATTACGTGTATACTAATTTCAGTATATAAATGGTACAAAGTGAAGATTGAAGCGACACTGCAATAAAATCCTTTTGGATATACAAGCAGTCGCGTTCTTTCCTAATTGTACTGTTTGTATACTATCCAAAAATTAGGTATAGTTAAAGAAACAATGAGATACGGAGAAAGGTAAAAAAAAAGTGTTAATGAGAATATCGTGTTCCGTTTTCTTTGACAGTTGCTTTTACTAATTGAGATTGTAGCACGTTTATTTTTAGTGACATTCAAGTTACGTGTGCTGATGTTACAATTTTACGGGCACTAACGAGAGAGTCAATGCGTGCGAAATCTCGCATAAGTTGAGAAGGGTACGTCATTAAATGATAATTTTTCTCTGTCACGCTTAATCCCTATCTCTATCTTTCTCTTTTCTCTAGAAGTTGAATAGATATATCGAATCTTTAAGGAAAATTGCGTCGAACCAATGAGATTCTGGCGTTACCCGCGCACTCTCACGAGTTAACAATAATTGAATTAAGGTTTAACCATCACGAGAATGAATTTCTTTGTACTAATGGTATAAATAAAAATATCTTATTACTTTCTTCACAGCCACTCATTGCCAGTACGTTGTTTTGTAACACGCGTAACAGAGTTCTAATTCATTGTAATAATGTAAATTTCATCGAATCGATGATTAACACCGCATCTGCTTTATACCATTGCTACATCGAAATTCACATATAAATATATATATATATATATATATATATATAAATATTAACTCTAAACATAGTTATATTATAGTCCAGCGTTTTATTGCAGCAAAGGATTCTTTGTGTCGACCAATAACATCGTCGATGCGAAGTACATTAGAAATGCCACGATGTGACGTAATGTCCCAGTATCATCGTAAAGTCTCGCTTACTCCTAGGGAGTAATATGAATAATTAGCTAGTCGTTTAACGAATAACCTTACGACATTTTCGATCGATCACATGTTACTTTAGCATAACGTCATCACTATATCGTCCTAACGTTTCCTTAGATCATCACCAGTGCATTAATCCGTCGGATCGGAATGTTTCGACGACGATAATAGTTGGGGAGGGTGCGGGGGGGGGGGGGGA